TTTGTAGGCCTCTTTCCCTTAGTTTGTATGTCTACATACGTTATAGAGGGTTTTGTGGCATCTTCCCCTTACTTTGTATGTCTACATACGTTATAGAGGATTTGTAGGCCTCTTTCCCTTAGTTTGTATGTCTACATACGTTATAGAGGGTTTTGTGGCATCTTCCCCTTACTTTGTATGTCTACATTCGTTATAGAGGGTTTGGAGGCCTCTTCCCCTTACTTTGTATGTCTACATTCGTTATAGAGGGTTTGGTGGCATCCTCCCGTTACTTTGTATGGCTACATACGTTATAGAGGGTTTGTAGGCCTCTTTCCCTTAGTTTGTATGTCTACATACGTTATAGAGGGTTTTGTGGCATCTTCCCCTTACTTTGTATGTCTACATACGTTATAGAGGGTTAGAGGCCTCTTCACCTTACTTTGTATGTTTACATAAGTTATAAAGGGTTGGAGGACTCTTCCCCTTACTTTGTATGTTTACATACGTTATAAAGGGTTGGAGGCCTCTTCCCCTTACTTTGTATGTTTACATTCGTTATAGAAGGTTGGATGCCTCTTCCCCTTAATTTGTATGTCTACAAATGTTGTAGAACACTTTTTTGACCTTTACTATCTTTGACGAGTCCACTCCAATTTTGTTGTTTGATCTCTTTTCTATTTATTATGTATAATTTTTTAGATTTACTCTTGTCATATTTGAATGAATTATAACCGAACGGTGACTATTATAAAATGTATATACTTTAGCGACAGTTGCCATTTCGATTACAGGTCAGATGCTCTGGCTAGACGATGTCTCACACATGCTGTTCCTTTGTTCTCCACGACTTACCAGCCTTACAGAACTCGTAGAGATGAACGTCTTTATGTCCGATATCCCTATCTATGACGTCACACGAGAACTGGTTCTGCTTAACCAACAACGTATAGCAGAAATTGATGTTGCGTAAGATTTATTTATTTCCTTTTTACATGATTTTACATCTGCAGTTTTGCCATCTTGGTTTCGGCAACGATATATCAAAAGTAATGATTTTACCGTTAATATTATTTTAAAAGTACACGTAGTCAATACTTTAGTGACCTATTGCAACAGTAATTTTACTTTTGCCTGACAGTGATGAGTTTGTCATTTACAGTATATGATATGTTATAGAAAAGTGTGGATGTTCTTACTTCTCGTTCACTGCCAATATATATGAGTTGTAAAAGAAAATCGAATGTTGTTCTTGATAAAGGCATTTCGAATAGGGATTGCAGTTCCATAACTCTGGCGATATCAAATACCGTCTACGAAGCCTAAAGCTAGACCTGTTAACAATTTCTGTGAGGGTACGAAAATTATTGTTTTATTAAATGTTATGTAATGGTCCAGCTTATCAAAATTTGTTTCTGGAAAATATGTCTCGATTTAATTAAATGATTAGTTATTATGATTCCATATCGTCAATATTTAAACATAATTTACATTGAAACAAAACATATAATATTTGCATATTAACGATATCGTATGTGTTCATTATTTGTTTTAAGCCTATTAACTATGAAAATAGTATTTGTTTACCTACAATATCGGTGGGAATTTGCGAAGACCTTTTTTGTGTTTTGTTTGAGAAAAATAAACTATCCCAATGACCGGTTATAAGGTATATTTACTTGGTGAGTAAACAAGAGATTTATTGTTCCTCTCAATAACAGGTAACTTTACTCCCTCATATATCTATGTTTTCATAGGGCCACCATAGTGTGTCCTCTTTCTCCTGAAGTTAAATGAAGTGTTTGATATTTCACCACATGATTAACAACTACAATTAAATGCCAAAGTAGTGGTCGTTTTATGTGGCTGTCGGTTAATTGGTAATATAATTGTGTGGGCGGTGAAAAGTCTACGTGGGTTCCTTGAAGACTTGGCCTTTAGTGCAGTGGAGAACCAACATTTTGGTAGAAGAGAAATGCTGTTTTATAATGAAATCGCCCAATTGTGTTATTTCTAGCTGATAGGAGATTTCTGTCTTCTGGTGGGTTTAACTTTATGTTCTAGCAAAGGTTTACAAGCTATTTACTTAGAGACAATTTAACTTCTCATTTTTGTTGTTGCGTATAAATTGTTCGATTATAAGAGCTGTGGAGAAAATAGTAATGAAATTAATTGTATCGCGATGCCCTTAATTTAAGATGTACGTCCTCGAAGCTCTTTACTTTCCAACTTATTAAACAGCCAAGTTTTAAACGACCAGTATGTTGTTCAAGACGTAACGAGCTTTCAGAAAATGATGGTCTTCTTAACATTCCAGTAATCAAGGCGTAGTCAGGTTATTGTGTTGTTCGTTTTACTGATAATCTCAATTAAACTCAAGTTTCATAAGAAGACGTCGATTACATCACATTAAGTTGCAATATAAATTTAAGCTGTCATTAAATATGTCATTATAATAAGAGAATTTGCTGCAGGTAAAAGATTTTTAATAATCATAATAATTGATTTACATAATGACTTAACAACTTCCTCCAACAGGAAGAAGCTAGATGAAACTACAGCAGAGTTGAAGAAAACGTCAGAAGCGCTGGAACACGAGAAGAAAAAAACCGAAACGTTATTGTACCAAATGCTTCCAGAAAAGGTGGCCATCGAGCTCAAAAACGGCAAAACGGTTAAAGCAGGTACTAGTCTAGGACATTGGAAGTCTTTATAGATTTAAAGTACTTTCCTAATCATAAGGTTGTTGTGTATATCAGAGGTCATTTGTAAATCAGAGGTTATTTTAACCTTTTGCTGGTATGAATATTTGTCGTCGCTTTGCACTATTGCTAAAAATTAAGCAATGCATTTCATAGTGTTGATATTGATTATCTTCTCCCTTTTTTATTGGATTTGAATTTCGATATCGTCCTTGTACTGGTATAGTTTATATATTTACGTCGATTTCGCCATTGTACTGGTATAGTTTATATATTTAGGTCGATTTCGTCCTTGTACTGGTATAGTTTATATATTTACGTCGATTTCGCCTTTGCACTGGTATAGTTTATATATTTACGTCGATTTCGCCCTTGTACTGGTATAGTTTATATATTTACGTCGATTTCGCCATTGTACTGGTATAGTTTATATATTTAGGTCGATTTCGCCCTTGCACTGGTATAGTTTATACATTTAGGTCGATTTCGCCATTGTACTGATATAGTTTATATATTTACGTCGGTTTCGCCCTTGTATTGTTAAAGTTTATATATTTACATCGATTTCGA